GGCCAACCTGAGTTAGAGAATTTTTCCTCTAAAAAAGCAAAAATAAACAATAGAAATGTTAAGTACTAGTTTGAAACAAAAATCAAAAATATTAAGAATGTCATCTATTTGTTTCTCTTATTTTCACGAGTATGTAGGCAAATTTCATAATACCATATGTTAATAACGTTAAGGTAATTTTAAAGGACAGAACTAAGGAAGTGAAGATGAAACCCATCAAGTCCCTCAGAAAATGATCTCTATTAGTGAATGGCTTAACTGTGAAGTTCAGTACGCACTTAGCGGCCATTACAAAAATAGATACGGCTATGGTCTAACTGCCGGGCATCTCATCGTCAAGAGAAGAAAGGCCGCTGGGCGGTAGAGGTAGATGCCTTTAATCCCAGCACTCGGGAGGCAGAGATAGAAGGATCTCTGTGAGTTCGACACCAGCCTGGTCTACAGAGCAAGTTTCAGGGCAGGCTCAGAGAAACCATATCTCAATAAACCAAAAAAATAAAAAGGAAGGCCTGAGGGCTGTTAGTCACCAAGTTGCGCTTGCAGAGTGGATGCTTACCCAAACGTTTTCTGGGGCTGAGAGGCAGAAGTTTTGTGTCCGCACACGGAGTAGCCGGTACAGCCTGGACGTTTTTAAGCTGTACTTTACTGTCCTTGGAACTCGCTTTGCTCGGAGTCTTAACCAGCTTCTTTTTCGGAAAACGGATGGTGGCTTGTGTCTGGGATGGTGTTTGAGGCATGACGACCACACAACTGGACACAAAAGAGAAGCAGGAAGCCTGTAATTTAAAAGCAAAAAGGAAAACATAGGGTGCTAACTTATATTGGTGACCAACACTCACTTCATACATTACGTTAACAGCATTTTCAACACGTAGGTCTGCTCCCTAGTCAAGCCTATGTAATAACAGGTGACATCTGTCTGCCTTATATGTGTAACACGCCGCTATTACACATATTATACACTTCCGTCTTACCACTATTATCCCTCTCTTAAAGACACAGCCATAGAAAACACGGCTATTACCCCAGGCATCCTGAAACCTGAACCTAAGTTCTTCCACTTGAGCGATGCCCAAGTTTATCTCCAGCGATTTCTGTAATATTTCTAGCTCCTTCACTCCAGACACGCGAGACATCCTTAGCACTAACTAGTTTAATTCCAGATCGTAACATGTAGGCTCTCCCAAAAGTAGGCAGGGCAGCTCCGTCCTCCTCTGCCCAGGACTAGCCTGCTCGCCACACAGCTCAACCCCACCCTACACCGTTTCCTCCCAGCAGCTCTCAGCTCCTTCCCGCCATTGCGGGCTCGAACGCCTTGCAGGCGCACAACCCCCTCCCTGACCCAGCCTCAGACCTCAGGCGATCTCCGCTCTCCACCGGCTACGCTCGAACCAGCTCCCGGAACTGGGTCCCGACCAGCTCTCAGGCCTCACGGAGCAATCTGCCCCTTCACACTCTTCAGGGCTGTGTCGCTTCAGCGCACGTTCCGGTGTGTCGGTCACAACCGCAAGGATCTCCCGCCACGAGAAGCACAACTGCAGAAAAGTCAGCTCGCGCCAAATCCGCACACCCTCAGCGTTCCCGTCTCGCGCCAAAGTCCAGCCACGCTTCTGATTAGTTGTCACTAAGCTCCACGCCTTTGCCGGCGACGACCTACAGCCAATAAGACAGCCCCAGGTCTCCGAGCCCAGCCTGAGGCCACACCCACTCGCCAGGGAGGGCGTCCACTTCTAAGACCTCCGCGGGAAAGGCGCGCTTGCGACTCTTTAGGTAAGCACGCCACGCCGCAAGCCTGGCGGGAAGTGTAGTTTTTGATCACAAGCAAGCCCCTTCCTACTTCCGCATTTTTTTTTTTTCTACTGGGGTATTTTTTCCCCTACCTTGGTTTTTTGAGACAGGTTTTCTCTGTATAACCGTCCAGGCTGGCCTGCCTCTTCTCCCGAGTGCTGGGATTAACGCTATGCGACACCACTGCCCGGTGTACCTATTTCATTAAGAGGGATACTACAATAGGTTTGTTATTTAGGGGGCAGTCCTGCATGGCATGAAGCAAATGAATGCATAGGGTCACAGCATTCTCGGTGGCGGAAGGGCTGACGAATCAGGGCATTTTTGATTGACATCATCTCAGTATTTGTTGACTTGCACTTCAAAAGTGAGAAACAGGACCAACACTAAACGTGCAATTCTGTTTTGCTCAAGGTTAATATATTCCGCATGCCTTCTTAACATTAATCTACACATCATAAGGATTAGAATTATGTTCTTTTAATTTGAACATTTTTTATGGCCAAACACTAGGGTTTCGGGGCTAGGGAAGACATCTAATAGGAGAGGCAAGCTGAGCATCTAATGAAAATGTAAATCGGAGCTGTCATTTGCAGACCAGGTTCCAAAGTAAATAACCCACTTTAGCGTCCTTTAAAGGCCAGAGCCCAACTCTAGGTAATGGCAAATTTTATGCATGTTTATTAGAGGCAGGGTTTCTCTGTGTAGCCCTGGCTCTCCTGAAACTAGTTCTGTAGACCAGGCTGGCCTTGAACTGGGAGATGCCTGCGTCTGCCTCCCAAACGCTGGGATCAAAGCAGTGTGGTACCACACCTGGTTGTAAATATACTTTTATCCTTCCATAGCTAATAAAATGGACATAAAGCTAGGAATAGGAAAGCGATATCACAATCACTGGTTAGCTCAAATAGTGAATTTCAAATGGTTACCACCTCTTAGCACAGCTGATGTGAGTCCTTTGTGTGCAGGGACTGGGTTCAGCATTTGACTTTATCACCTTAGTCTTTACAAACACCCTAGGAAGCTGACGGAAACCTGCCCGAGGTCCTGTAACTGGAGGAGCTGGTATCTGCATTCTAATGACAGAAGACCAAGCTCTGAGGTGTGGTTTCTAAGCAGGGCAGGATGGTGAAAGGGACATTTTCTTAGATACATTTTGTCCTAGCAGCTAAGAACTCCAAGAGAAAACAAGCTGCCATCAGTGGGGAGACAGCATGGACGGAAGCTTTCAGATGATTCGGCCTCACCAGGTGTGAGGGCTGAACCCTAAAAGGCTGTCCACTGGAGGCTTTTCCTCCAGTAACCTCTCACACACGTCAGCTCATTTCTGTACCTTTGTACCGTCTCCTGCCTGGAATGTGTTTCTCTCCTTCCTGGCCAGCTCCTATGAAAGTCTTCCAGTGCCCTGCATAGGTTCCTCCCGATGACTAGGATTTGCTAGACCACGGGCTTTGAAGGCAAAGACCATGTCTGAGTTACCATCCTGTGTAGATTTCTGCTATAAAGTACACGATAAACGCTTGCCAGATGAAGGAACGGACAGGACATTCCGTCAGGCTGACGTCCACTATTTGCATGAACGAGTTTTATGGTTGGATAACATATATAGTCCTTTAAATCTCACGGCCATAAATGTAGCAAAATAAATTTAATTACGCGTAAAAACAGTTCAAACTGGGCGTCAGTGGTGTCAAAGATTAGGATCCTGAGGTTGATATGCGCATCCTCTTACCATGCACAGAGTACTGGGAAGCTTTCTTCCTGTAAGTTGCAGTCCACTTCTGGGCCAGGAAACACTTAAAGGCACGGCCTGGAGCAGGCAGAGCCGGGCCTCAGTAATCACCAGTGAGCAAGCTAATGAATGTTCTTATCACCTAACTCAGTGTCCCAGAGCAGGAATCACAGCACACTGGAAAGACCTGTCTGGCAGCTTTCTGAGTGTGTGTAAGGGTACACACACAGACCAGCAATCCTGTCCCAGGGAGAGAACTTAACAGGGTAGGGAAGCTGAGGGTCATTTAAGCAAGTTCCATAAGCAGACTATTAAGTTAGGAAGAACAATAAAATCAATAAATAGTTTATTAATCATATTAATAACAAGAATGGGTCAAATAATCAGGAATTCAGGCACTCTGGGGTCTCCACAGGTTATGCTATCTGGATTCTGTGAGCTTGATCCACACACCCACCCGCATTTCCAGTCAGTGGGGAGGGAACTCTGCAATGGGGAGAGTACAAGTCAAGCTCAGCGGACTCTCTGTCAGTAACAAAGAAGCCTGGCTGAGTTTTAACACCTAACATCAAAGTTCAAGAAAACCAGCTAAGATTTCAGCTTAAAAAACAGTGAAGAAACCCTGTCGTGAAAAACCAAAAAAAAAAACAAAAAAACAAAAAAAACAGTGAAGCCAGCCCTCCTGGGGGCAAAAGCAGGTGGGTCTCTGTGAGTTCAAGGTCTGCCTAGTCTACAAATTGAGCTCCAGGACAGCAGGAGCTATACAGAGAAACCTTGTCTTGAAACAACAACAACAACAACAACAAAAAGATACACTCAGAAATGACTATTTCTAGACCTGAAAATGTTTGCTGGGTGGTGGTGGCACACGTCTTTAATCCCAGCAATCGGGAGGCAGAGACAGTCTAGTCTCACTCAGTTCGAGACCAGCCTGGTCTATAGAGTGAGTTCCAGGACAGCCAGGGTTACACACAAGAGAAACCCTGTCTCGAAAAAATCAACCAACCAAACCAAACCAAACCTAAGTAATCAAGCAGTGAAGAGAAATAGACAGCAGCACCCACACACTCAAGAACAAATGGATTCTCAAGACCCCAAAGGCCCTGCCCACCCACCACCACCTGGTAGAGAATCAGGCAGGCGCAGGGAACAGAATCTGAGGGGTCACAAGGAAGGAACACAAAGACAGCGAGCCTCGGGGGTGCCTTGAGATCAAGGCAACGGGAGGTAAGCAGCAAATACAAGACAGAATCACAGGTCAGTGAGGCCACAAATGGTGATTTTTTAAGACACCCAGTCAGAAAAGTCCTCTGAATGGCCGGGCGGTGGTGGCGCACGCCTTTAATCCCAGCACTCGGGAGGCAGAGGCAGGTGGATCTCTGTGAGTTCGAGGCCAGCCTAGTCTACAAGAGCTAGTTCCAGGACAGGCTCCAAAGCTACAGAGAAACCCTGTCTTGAAAAAACTAAAAAGAAGGAAGGAAGGAAGGAAGGAAGGAAGGAAGGAAGGAAGGAAAGAAAGAAAAGTCCTCTGAGAGCTGCAGGTGCTTCTGCCATGCGCACTGGCACACGTCCTTCCTCGGGGGAACCTGAAATCAAACTGCCACACTTACCCAGAAGAGGATTCCCTCCCCTCTCCTTGCCATCAGTATTACTCTTGAGTTACACTGCCTTGACTCATGACAAAAATACACAGTTTTCTTTTTTGTTTGTTTAGTTTTTTAAATATTTAATTAAACTGCACAGCATCCAGAAGAAAGAAATGTACCAAGGAATTCAACCTGAAACCAGATTATACATTTTCTGTCGGGGGACAAGGGGTGCAAAGATCAGTGCTATTGTGGAGAAGCACTGAAACCAGAATAAAAACTCCAAAATAAATCACACAATAAATTATATTTTTTAAAGAAACTGATCTACATGCAGATGATGGGCACACACACACACACACACACACACACACACACACACACGTACTCTGGTCTTTTATTTAGTGTTGACCGTAACTTCCAGACTGGAAACTGCGGGAAAGGACAAAAGTCAGACGTGAAAAAAGAGGGTGTGCTAAGTCCCTCTGCCCCGGGGGTGGGGGAGGAGCAAGACATGACAATCAGAGAAGGACCCCGCGAAGCTGTAAGAATCAAGAGCAGAAAGGAACCAGCAGTTATCAAGGAAGATTTTAATTACTTCATAGAGGGGGAGAAAGCACAGAAATCTAACACAAGTAAAGGCACAATGAACGTGGTGGAGTTGAGTGAAACAGAACCCTTCCTTCAGTTAAATGGTTGTTGGGTTTTTTTGTTTTTGTTTCTGCATATGATTTTGAAGGTGGTTATCATTTTACTTCATTTTATTTTCAAGAAATGAGTCTTAAAGGCAGAATTATAATGGCCTCCTCTCTTCCCTCTCACTCCCTAAATCTGGGTTAAACCAGGGTGGCTCAGAGTCACCTTGACCACATAACTTAGGGACTGAGTCACAGGGAAAGAAAACTTACACCTGGAATGTGAAGACTCTGGTCTGGGTTTGCAGAAGGACAGACAGCGCAGCACAGTGCTATCGAAGGGCCTCTGATGCCCAACACTCCACTCCCAGACTTCACGGAACGAAGGACCCTGGAGTCACCTTTCTCCCACACTCCCATAAGCACTCAGCCTACAGATTATTCAAGTGATCAGGAGAATTACAACATACCCCAACCCTGAGTTGCTCTGTAGCAAATCTATTTACAGTTATTTTTTCCTCCTCACCTCTCCCTGGAGGTAAATCTGGGTTTCAAGCTGGGAAGCCACTAGGTAAGGGAATTAATTCCCCTAGTGCAATGCCAGTGACTCGTTTCCTTGCCTTCGTCAGGAAAGGGGGCAGGGACAAATTCCTGGTGACATCTCCAGCTAGGACAGCCCTAGCTGCTCACACAATTGGCCGAGGCTGTGAAAACAGGAGGGCTCCGCAGCTGCAGCAAATCCTCAGGAGAGAGAAAGCTACACCTGGAATGTCCTAGTACTTTGGTCCAGGTTTGGTGACTTGAGACAGGGAAAGAGGGGCATCTAGCTCATTTGAAAATCAAGAGGCCACTGCCCAGCTTCAGGTAGGGCAGTAAGAAACAGCTACTGTTTCCTATTAGGGAAAACCACTACAAAACCCACAGAAGAGCTGTTGGTAAAGCTTCTTGCTGCTTAGCTGGGCAATGTCTCTTCCCTTTGGGAGGGAACAAAGGAACTAAAAGGATCAGGCAACAGCCTCAACGTGAGACCACCCAATCTCCCACTGAAGAGACGACATCCCATAAACAGATAAAAAAGCAGTTCAGAAGGGAAATTTTCAGTGCTCTTGCAGCCCCGCTACCTTTAACCTGTATTACAAGCTTTGTACAACATACAAAATAGACCAACAATTTTAAGGATCACATTCCCACCTTCAATAGCAAACATACACTGATAATAAATCTGTTACTAACAGCGGGACCAAATGATGTATAAGGCAAAGACATTTACATTAGGTGCTGTGTCATCAACATTCTCTAGAGGAGAATACCCATTTATTCAGATCTAAACCCAGGCCTTTTTTTGGTAGTTGTCCCATCGAGCAAAGACAATGGAAATGTAATCAATACCCACATGACACCATCCAAATCTGGGGAATATGAACAGCGCAGGTCATGTGCAGGAAGGATCAGCCCAGTGAAAAGCTGGGGTGTGGCTTTATTTGCTATATCATATATTCTGATGATTTATGTTTCAGTAAGGGGACATCTCTATACACTCTGATAGCATTGTACAAAAGGCATCAACTCCCATTTCAAAAACAAATGGGAAGACTTCACAGTCAAAGTTCAGCAACTAGCGTCTACCCTGGAACTCCTGCAGTACCAGCTCTTCTCTCTGACTCTGTTCACTTGAGGATGCTGGGGATACTCCTGGAGATGACTACTAATGCATTTGAGAAGAAGAATAAGTAGTGAACAAATTAGAAGTCTGCTGAGACCTAATCATTGCTTGTCCCAAGAGTCGAAGTGGTCCAGGAGATGGCAAAGGGTAACACTCAATAAATAAATAAGCCAAGTTAAGCCCACCTTCACCAACACTGGAAGATTTGGGTTTCACCTGGCATTAAACACAGATCCTTAGCCTATGTTCCATTAGATTAGAAAGGTCCCTATGAGCCAGGTGTGATAATGTATGACATTAATCTCAGCACCCGGGAGACAGAGGCAGGTGGATCTCTGTGAGTTCAAGGCCAGCCTGGTCTACAGAACGAGTTCCAGGACAGCCAGTGCTTTCACAGAGAAACCCTGTCTTGAAAAATAATAATAATAAGGAAAAGAAAAGAAAGGTCCCTGTGACAGTTTAACCTGTGACGGATGTGAAAGTTTTTAACTAGCTTCCCCTATTGAGTCAAAGGACAACCTGGTTTCCCCATGGTCATGCAAGGTTGGAGCAGCCTTTGTCCATGGCTATGACTGTACGAAACCAACCTATCCAGTGTGTGGAGTTCCCACACTGGGGCCCCACACTGCTGTTGGAGAAGAGACACTCACTGTCAAATAGACCAACCTCAGTTGGAACATCCATTTTTCCTGTGCTGTTTACCTACAACCTGGAAGACAGAAACAATGTATTGCTGGCTGCCAAGGAAGACCCACTGACTGGAGTGCCGCATTTCTCCTTAAGTTTTTGTGCTTCTTGGTTTAGAAGACTCGGAATATGCCCCACCCCCAAAGGCCCCACGTATTTCCTTGCCCTTTTCTACTCTGTGGGCTTAGCACCCGCAGTCTTGGGAAAGCAGCGTGGCAGAGATAACATGAGGACCCTGCTGTCGGATGTGAGATGGGTATGAGGAGGCCGTCAAGACCTTTGCAGCCCCAGAGCCAGACCTTCCTGTGAAGTGCTTCCTCCTTCCCTAGTCTCCCTGGAGCATTCCCCGAGGGCTGCTAACCACTTCAGGGTTAATCAGAAAAAAACTGAGATCGACTTGAGGTTGAGGTTAAGGTCCTCACCCCCTCTTTTCATCTCTTACAGGAAGTTTCTGGGGTTTGTGAATATGAATAATCCACCCAACAAAAAGTGACTCTTCTCTTGAGGGACGGGAAGCACTCCGGGGAAAGGCAGGGGGTCCCAAGGGGTACAGATGGCCCTGGCCCTCAGCTGCAGAGGAGCCGACTAGCTCTGGAATGATCCTCAGTTTACTTCGTCCCCTTCTTTTATTGTCTAGTTCACTGATTAGTATTTAGTGTATGTACAACTTACCCCTTGGAATGGGGAGAGGAGGGATGAGAACAAAACCAAAACACTCTCAAAAATGGAGAAGACCCATTTCTTTGTCCTTTCTGTAACCTGACCTTTAAAACAGGTCACTTCTGCAAACCCCCTGACTGCTTCACGAAAAGTACCTTTTCCTCAACAGTCCTGGCCACACCAACCTCCTCAACTATGGAATACAATGCACACAGTACACTTCCCCTTGGTGAATAACAGCAGGCAGGGGTACCATTCTCTACCCTGCCCAGTGTGTGTCCATTCACCTAACAAGGCACCTTTCCCTGGAAGAAAGCAGGAGAAATGGAGGCTTTCTCCACTTCTGGCTTAGCAGGGCTTGCTGGAAGAGGGCTGGATAAAGGGTTTGAGACCCTACTGCCAACAGAAAGAATCCAATCACCAAGTCCAGAGATGAGATGCATAGATGGAACTGGGCCAGGAGGATGCTTAGGGTTGGTTGCACTGGAGAAACACTGTAGGAGCTCTCATGCAGGTTTTACGGGTTGGGGGACCATCTGAGAAGAGGAGGTCCATCCTTTTCCTGAGGAGCAGGACCAAGCCAGGCTTCACCTGAGAATGGGTGGCAGAGGTGGGGCTCCACGGGCAGCTGGAGAAACAAGAATCATAGACACTGAGCTCACTTACAGACCCTACGTAACATTTCTGAAATGAGACAGGCTCTCTAAGTCAAATTTTAACAACAGGGACTATTGCTGTATAGATGGTTTGGAAGGTGGGCACTTGATGCCAAGGCTGCTGACCCGAGTTAGTCCCCAGGATCCAGGGGACTTGGTTGAAGGAGAAAAGCCAACTCCTGCTGACCTCTACACGTGTAGAAGCACTTTCTAATCCCAGAAAACACACAAACTCTATGTTGCATGCAAACACGAACGCTTTCCTCACTCCCCTCGCACCTCGGTTTGTTTTGCTGGGGTATACTCTCTGAAGATGCTTATACTCTTCTGGAGCAGGGAAGTCCTCTACTGGGTGGAAGGAGTACTTGGACTCAAAATCATCTGTGAAAAGAGGAGAGTATTATGTCACGCCTCCCACAGACGTGGGACTTCTTAGGACCTTTCCTATTTACCAGTCTCCTCTGGGTTCTGCTGTATGGAGAGCCTGCTCTACCCACCAAACCAAAGTTCCTGAGATGACAAAAGCATCCCCTGGGTGCCTCTGATGAACAGTGGATACCCAAAGACCCTTTATCTGGGGCTGGTATGGTGGCAGGAGCCTATAACCAAGGGCTGTGGAGGCAGAAATCAGAGTATCACTGGGGCTTGCTGGCCAGCCAGTCAGACCAATTGCAGAGCTCCTGGTCTAGTGAGAGACCTTATCTAAGACAAATATGGTGGAGAGCAATTAAGGAAGACACCTAATGTTGACCTCTGGCCTCCATAACCACCTGTACACATACATATAAACACATAAAGGCGCACATGTGAACATATACATACGGAGAAAAAAAATTTAATCCTTTTAAATTGTGTGTGTTTTGTCTACATGTATGTTTGGGCACCATGTGCACACAGCACCCACAGACGCTAATGGAGGGCTTCAGATTTCCTGAAACAGGAGTTACAGACTGTTATGGAGGCTCCATGTTGGTGCTGGGAATTGAACATAGGTCCTCTGAAAATGTACCCAATATTCTTAACTACTGAGCTATCGCTCCAGCCCCTTTATTTATGTGCTGGATAGTTTTATTCAACTTAACACAAGGTAGAGTTATCTGAAAGGAGGGATCCTCAATTGAAAAAAACGTCTCCATAAAATCTGGCTATAGGGAATTTTCTTAATTAGTGATTGATGGGGAATGGCTTGGCCCATTGTGGGTGGTGCTATCCCTGGACTGTGATCCTGGGTTCTATAAGAAAGCAGGCTAAGCAAGTCATGGGGAGCACCTCTCCATGGCCTTTGCATCAGCTCCTGCCTCCAGGTGTCTGCCCTGTTCCTGTCTTGCCTTCCTTCAGTGGTGAGTTGCAATATGAAAGTGTAAGCCAAATAAACCCTTTTCTCCCCAACCTGCTTTTTGGTCATGGTGTTTCATCACAGCAATAGAAACCCAAACTAAAACAAATTATTATTATTATTATTACTATTATTATTATTAGACAGGGTTTTTCTGTATAGCCCTAGCTATCGTGGAACTAACTCTGTTGACCAGGCTGGCTTTAAACTCACAAAAATCCACCTGTCTCTGCCTCCCAAGTGCTGGGATTAAAGGCATGCACCACCATTGTCAAGCAATTATTATTTTTGTTCATTTTGAGACAGGGTCTCACTATGTAGCCTTGGCTAACCTGGAACTATGAGACCAGTATGGTCTCAAACACACAGATATCTGCTCGACTCTGCCTTCGAAGTGCTAGGATCAAGGTGAATGCCACAAGACCAGAACCAGTACCTCCCCTTCTAAAATTCCAAATGTAGCTGGGCGATGGTGGCACACGCCTTTAATCCCAGCACTCGGGAGGCAGAGGCAGGCGGATCTCTGTGAGTTCGAGACCAGCCTGGTCTACAGAGCTAGTTCCAGGACAGGCTCCAAAGCCACAGAGAAACCCTGTCTCGAAAAAAAAAAAAAAAAAAAAAAAAAAACTAAAATTCCAAATGTAAAGGAGTCAAAGGCTGACTCTACATCTTTCCACCAAAATTCAGACTCTTTGGGAAAGGAGCACAAGTGTGTGTGCAAGCAGAAACAAGAAGCTCCAGAAACAAGGTGGGCTTACAAGACTGTTGCTATGGGAAACAAACTGAATTAAATTTAAGGGGTGGTAGTCATTAACCTCAAATGTCTCTCTAGCTAGCAAGAGTTTTAATGGAAAACTTTCTTTCAGCCTTGGTTATCCTATATTGCTCTGCAACACAGTTCAGTCAGCCATGTCTAGCTCCACCCCTACTCTCTACGACCTCTTCCTAAGATTCAAACGTCTTACGTCTTATGGGCATGGCACGATCACACCTCAAGAGGTCTTTTTTCTATTCAAAGTTTTTTTGTTTAGATAGGGTCTTACTATGTACTACAGACAGGCTTTGAATTTAAGATTCTCCTGCACCAGCTAAACCCTGTGTGCTGGGACTACAGACACACGCCACCATGCCCCACTACATTGAGAGGTTTCTGCAATAAGGATGTACGCTCAAAGCAAAACTCTTGTGCAACTGTTAAGAACAGGCTGGACTGTGTCGGGGGTAGTGATGGAGGAGCAACCCTGAAGAACTTAGTGTGTTAATGGTTTCAAGAGATATCATGGTCTACACCACGCATCTTCAAAAGAGTACAACTTATGGCTCTATTCTAGACTGTGAGGTGAATTCTCTTAAGTAGAGATCTCAACATTTATAAGCTTGGAAAACATGATCCAATACACGCCTGTTCTAGTCAATTTCCTGCTTCTCTACATAATAACAGTGGGGTCCAAATAAATAAAATGATGTCCTCAAAAAAATACAGCTGGTTTGTCACTGGCCTCTGTATATTTTGTTTTTGTAGTGCTGGGGTTCAAACTAAGGGCCTCTGTCAGCTAAGCTTGTTTGGCTTTTCGTGCTGTTTCTGTACTGTGGGATTAAGCCCAGGACTTGTACACATTAGGCTAATGCTGTACCACCGAGCTTCACCCTAAGCCTCTTGAGTTTTTAAGTAACCAGGAAGGAACTCCCCTCCTTGAACACATAATTCTAGGATATATGAGAATAAAGAGGACAGTCGCTGATGGGAAGCTTCATCAGTGATTCTTGTGAGGACCTGAGAGTAGCTTTAGAATCAGTATGAACCCTGACGACTTGATTTCAATCTGTTCATGTAAGGAAAGAATGTCAATAGATCGGAAGCACAAGTCAGAGGAAAAGTCAGGAGAGACCTGCTGCGAACAAGACTGCTGCTCTGGCCTATTCTCCATCTACAGGAGCCATCTGGCACCAGTGAGTCGGTGAAGTCACCACCAGAACTATGAGACAAAGTCACTATTGGCTAGGCAGTGGTGGCGAACACCACCCAGCTTTAGAAGGCAGAGGCAGGCGGATCTCTGAGTTTAAGGCCTGCCTGGTCTACAGAGTGAGTTCCAGGACAGCCAGGCCTACACAGTAAAACCCTGTCTTGACACAACAAACAAACAAATCACTGACAACTTACCCAAGAAGGAACGGACAGTGGTGATGGAGTCTCTATGGCCATTCCTCAGGGGTGGTGGTGGAGGAGGGGGTGGCCCAGCTGGCGTCCTTGAGGGTGGAGGTGGGGGCTTTCCTCTGCTTGGAGGCTCTGACCCATGCATTCGATAAGGTGGTGGGGGAGGAGGAGCATCCCTGGCACCATTTCGGACCGTGGGTAGAGGGGGTGGAGGAGCTGCAATTAAAATCCAAAGCAGTTGGCTTGTGTTGGAACTGGCAAAGAAAAGAAGGGCTTGAGAGACATAAGCTAAAAAAGCAGCCGGGTGTGTGTGTGGGGGGGAGGTTAGTGAGGGAGCAAATGTGAGAAATGCACAATGATACAGAAGTACAGAAATGCTGTAATGAAATTCACTGTTTTATACACCAACTATAAAATAAAAACCATAGAATGCCAGGTAACGGTGGCACACACTTTTGCAGCACTCAGGAAGCAGAGGCAGGTGGAACTCTGAGTTTGAGGCCAGTATGGTCTACAGAGTTTCCAGGAGAGCCAGGACTAGACAGAGAAACACTGTCTCGGAAAACAAAATAAAGCAAACAAATCATAGAAAATAAAAGAAAGATGGGGTGGCTGCTGCTCCTCCTCTACTCTGTTCCCTCCCTCTGTCATTGTTTGTTTAGTTTTGGTCTGTTGGGTGTTTTTGGTTTTTTGTAACAAAACAAGGCTTCTGTGTGCAGCCTCAGCTGTCCTAGAACTTACTCTGTGGACAAGGCTGGTTTGGAACTTGCTGCTTTCTGCTCAGCCTCCAACAGAAACAAACATGTATTATCGTATAATATTATTATAATGTGATTTAATAGAAATAAGTCCATGAATTACTTAGATGCCCTTTACATAAAACAAGTTCAACAGCACACTACATTTTTACAAACACTTCTAGCTTACAGACGACAAACAAACTCAAGAGAATCAGAGAAATTTGCCCCATGTTATACAACAGATACAGCCACTCCTCAAGACTGTGGGCTGCTCAGAACTCCTGCTCTGGGTACTGAGCGGGCAGCAAGCTGAGGCCTCCCCTTGGCCCATGCTCACGGCTACCAGACACAATACAACTCATAGTATATGAAAAGCAAGAAATCTGCAGAATTGACACTACTTACCTCAGTTTTATTTTCTCTGCTTTTATTACCGAATGGGATTAGAAAGAGGATTGTTCACATTAAGAGTCTTTTTAAGGGGGCTGAAGAAATGGCTCAGTGGTAAAGGGCACTGGCTGTTCTTCCAGAGGACCTGGGTTCAATTCCCACCCACATGGCAGCTCACAACTGTCTATAACTCCAGTTCCGGGGGATCTGATACCCTCACACAGATATACATGCAGGCAAAACAGCAATGCACATGAAATAGAGATTTAAAAAAAAATGTGGCTTTAAAAAAAAAAGTCTTTTAAAATCTACAAGTTAAAAACTTTTTATTTTTTAGATTTATGTGCATCGTGTTTGCCTGCATGTGTGTATGAACCATATGCATGCCTCATGCCATCAGAGGTCAGCAAAAGAGTATTCCAGAGTACCCCTGGAACTGGGTGCAGAGAACTGACCTGGGTCCTCTGGCAGAGCAGTCATTGTCTCTCCAGCTGTCCCCCACCTGATGTGTGCATTTTTTTCCTTTAAACCTGAACTTTACAGAATCCTGGGTTATCTTATGGCTGGCTATAGGCAGGGAAATACCATGTCATCAATATTATCAAGTTGTTGTCTGGGGTGCCCTCTAAAAGACTGTTACTGAAGCCGGCTGTGGTGGTGTGTCTCTTTAATCCTATTACTTGAGAGGCAGAGGCAAGCGGATCTCTGTGAATTTGGGGCCAGCTTGGTTTACAGAATGAGTTTCAGGACAGCCAGGGCTGTTACACCTACAAACCCTGTCTTTTTTTTTTTTTGCTTTTTCGAGACAGGGTTTCTCTGTGGCTTTGGAGCCTGTCCTGGAACTAGCTCTATAGACCAGGCTGGTCTCGAACTCACAGAGATCCACCTGCCTCTGCCTCCCGAGTGCTGGGATTAAAGGCGTGCGCCACCATCGCCCGGCTACAAACCCTGTCTTAAAAAACCAAAAAAGTGCTACTGGGAGCACAAATTTACAGGAAACATAATTTGTATTTATTTTTATTTATGCATGTGTGTGCCTGCATGCCTGTATGTATGCCATGTGTGCACAAGTGCCCATGGAGGCCAGAGGAGGACATCAAATCCCCTGGAGCTGGAGTTACAGGAGGTTGTGAGCTGCTGTGATATGGGCTGGGAGCCAAGTCCAGGTCCACAGGAAAATGCAGCAGTGCTTTGGCAACCGTTCTATTTGTATATGGACACACTCAACCAGGCCTTCACCAAGGTTCCTATATACTGCTTTCTTAAACGTTCTTTTCTGGTTTTGGTCACACACGGTCTCCCTCCATTGCCCAGGCTGACCTCAAACTCCAGTGGCTCAAGCCAGCCTCTGCTTCAGCCTCCAACACAGCTGGCATCCATTCCTAATTCGTGAACCTACCCCAATTTGCTTCCTCAAGGCTGCACAGAGGGTTCATTGATGTTCAGTCCACAGCCAGTTCTCAGTGTCCAACTGGCCTTTCTGCAGCACTGCACACAGAGGCCCACTTCCTTTATCCTGCTCCTTTTCCATCACTCTACCAAGTTCATTTTTCCTGTTTTGTTTTTTGTGTTTAATTTTTATTATTTTATATGTATGGGTGTTTTGCTTACATACATATCTGTACACCATGTGTGCCTGATGCCCTCAGAGACCGTAAGAAAGCATCATATATCTTGAAATTGATACTACAGACAGTTGTGAGCCAATGTGTGGGTGCTAAGAAACCAACCCAGGTGCTCTGGAAGACCAGTTAGCGCTCGTAACCATTGAGCCATCTCTCCAGCCACCAGGCATGTGTTTGTTGTTGTTGTTGTTTTTCTTTTTTTTTTAATATTTATTTATTTATTTATTATGTATACAGTATTCTTTTTGCGTGTATGCCTGAAGGCCAGAAGAGGGCACCAGACCTCATCCCAGATGGTTGTGAGCCACCACGTGGTTGCTGGGAACTGAACCCAGGACCTCTGGAAGAGCAGGCAATGCTCCCAACCGCTGAGCCATCTCTCCAGCCCCGTTGTTGTTGTTTTTCATAACAGGGTTTCTCTGTGTAACACAATCCTAGTTGTTGTGGACTTGCTTTGTAGACTAGGCTGGCTTTGAACTTAGAGATCCACCTGCCTCCCAAGTGCAAGATTAAAGGTGTGCCACACTACGCCCGGCTAGCATGTGGTTTTGTTGTTGTTTTTTAATTTTATATAAGATTTATTTAGAGCCAAGTGTGTTAGTGCATACCTTTGATCCCAGCATTCTGCAGGCAGAAGCAGATGGATCTCTATGAGTTCAAGGCTAATGTGTTCTACATACCACGTTCCAGGCCAATCAAAGGTATACATGGAGACCTTGTCTTGAAAACAAAATAATTCACTTGGAATGGGACGAGGTCAGCTCCAAATCTTCCCAGAGTCCTACACATTATCCCGGAAGACTTGGCTTTCCCACTTTCCCTCTTGCCAGCTCCCGACTCATTCCAGTCCTTTCGCAATGGCCTCCCTGCTGTCCAGAGTGATGATGACTGTTTCTATTTCAGATCCTTCACACTGGCACCACACAGGGTAAGCCTCGTCTCACTCTTCTCTCCTCTAGTTCAAATACCAGCATCCTTTCCCTGGTTTGTATTTCTCTAAAACACACTACATACCATGTTTATAGATTTATATATTTACTAGGTTGTGCACAACACGTTTTTTAATCTCTCCCCTAACAATTACCAACACATCAAGGGCATCCAATAACCCAGGTGAATACATGACTCTTACTCTAATTACTGAAGAGATGCTCTTAGAAAAAAGCAAAGAGAAAAGAGAAAAGGCTTCCAAACACTTACCTGCTCCCCTACTAGGAGGGTCTCGGGCTGGGGGAGGTGGCCTGTTACTCAACAAGAAGGGGGAGGCAGAGGTGGGTGGAGGAGGTGCAAGGCCTCTGACTGGCCCTGGTGTCTTCCTATGCAAAGAATTGTGTCTTTGTGGCAGCTCAGGGGCTGACTCATTAGTGGGACTTGAGGGTCCATTGGGGACCCCAGGAGGCTGGCGGTAAGGCGGTGGGGGAGGAGCCAGAGACTGGCCACTTGGTCCGGTTCTGATATTCACAGGGGAAGGAGGTGGTTTTACAGGGGGTGGAGCAGAATGTCCTTCTCGACTCGGGTGCAGCCTCTGTCCAGGTGTTGGAGGCAACGGTTTCTCTCTGTTGTAGGCCTGAGCTTTGCTGCTGTGCACAGGCAGAGGAGTAGGGGGCGCATTGGCACGGCGCCCTGGAGGTGGTGGGGGAGGAGCAGATGAGCTGTGTTTCATGCCTGTACCACTAGTGGTATTGGGACGAGAGAGGTCGGGTAAAGAGGGTCTCTGCGTCCGAGGCAGTTCTGGGAGGGAGGCTCGGCTACTGTCAGTATCATCTTGAGGACGCCCACTGGCTGTAGACACTGGAGGCCTCGGAGCAGCCGCTCGAGAACTGGGGACTTGTAGGGCTGGCTTAGCAGCTAGAGTATCTACAAACAACAGAACACTGTGTTAACAGCTACATGCACATTGGTCAGGCCTCTGGTTGACCCAGCCTCCTCAGTGCACCTTGCACAACAGCTGAGAAAGTACCAGCAAAGTTCTTGGGTCTGTTTGCTTTCCTGTGCTCAGAGCCTCAAGCATGCAAAATACTTGCCTTACTGCTGAGCCACATCGCTAGCCCTAGCTCTGAGTTTTAATCAGGTTTCAGATTCAGAGTCTCTTGACACAAAATGAACACATTTGAATTGAATTACATTCATTTATTTTACCCCCCCCCTTTTTTAGGGGGGCGTATTTATGTACCCCTGGCTGCCCTGGAACTTGCTCTGTAGACCAGGCTGGCCTCAAATACACAGAGACTCACCTGTCTCTGCCTCCTGAGTATGCACCACCATGCTGGCTTGTCGTTCTGTTTCTGGCTTATTTCACTCAACACAATGTCCTCTAGGCCTGTCCATGTTGTCACAAATAACATTAATTTCTTTTGCAGGGCCGAATAGTAATCTATTCTCTGTGTGTATACCTTTGTGTGTGTGTGAATATTCTGAATGTAGTTATTTATGTATTTAGAGATTAGGTCTCATGTAACCTAGATTGGCCTCAGACTCAGAAAGTAGTCAAGGATGGACTTGAATGTCTGAGATTCTCCTGCCTCCACCTCCCAAGTTCTGGGATTACACGTATACCACCTAGCTTGGTTTATGCAGTGCTAGGAACTAAACTCAGGTCTTCACATACACTAGCCAAGTCTTCAACTCATTGAGCTACAACCCAGCACTTAAAATCTTTTTTGTTTCTTTAAGGCAGGCTCTCAACTCTTGCGGTTCAGTCTGAACTCAAACTTGTGATTTTCCTGCCTCAACCCTGCAGGTGGGACTGCAGTCACATGCTACAACAGCATCTCACATTTTCTTTACCTAAGTTAAACACAATTTATTTAACTCTCAGCTTTGCTTTACTGGGCAACTATGCTTGTCTCTTCTTCCTCCCACCTTCAACCCCAGTTTTCAACCTAAGATAGCACGCTTGGAGCAAGTCAAAAAAACAAACACTGTTGGGAGCTAGCCCAAGAGATAACTTCTCAGATACCTGAAGCATCCTTGGCTCCCACAGGTCGCAGCTTGGGCACTCCTCCTTGAAAGAGACCTCCCTTGGGTTGCAAAGCAGCAGCTCCAGGGCCATAGCCACCACCACTCCCTTTGGGCTCTGGAAGGCAGAGGTGAAATTTCATTTCACATACTCTGAGCTGCTGACCAAGTCAAGCCTGAGAAGAAACGATTCCTCTATCTAGGCTCTAATTACAAACGTACCAATCTTACTTTTGCCTCTCTATCAAGAAGCAGCAGCAAGAGTAGCAGCGCTACCACTAAAACACACAACCCAAGGGCGCCTAGGCCTTGCAGCTGCACACCTTCATGCAAGGATTATTACAAAAACCAAGCAAACTAAAAGGACAAAGGGAAGGAGGAGCCATTTTTATTTAGGGAGAAGGAGAACAACTCGATTAAAATAGACAAGCTCAACAGTTCTCTGGGTCCTCTTCCCCACATTGGGGGCGGGAGAGACAAGGAAGTGTGAACAAACGTTCCTGAGGCCTACAAGAATGGACTTGTACAGCAATTGTAAAACCATCCTTGGTTTCAGCCAGGAAGCCTCTAGGAATGTGGTGGTCTCCTGCGAACAGCCACAGATGGGCCCTAACAAACACTATCATCAGCAGGGGAGGACTTTAACCCTGAGAAGAGCTGAGGAGAACTTTCATAACGTTCAACTCCACAGCTGGAAGGAAAGTCCAGATATCCAGGACACCATTTTCCCACTGGAGAGACTACAATAAGTGCGATGCCCAGAAGTCTTCTAATCCTGGGACCCCCGACTCACTCTCGATGACAGGAGCACTCCGATCATTAATGTTGGTCACCTTCTTCAGTTTGGTCCCTTTGCAAATATCTTGTAAGAGGGCTCCTCGATTCCTCTGCTCATCTCTACTGAGTTTGGGCTGCTCTGTGTTTGCCTGGAGGAAGAAGGAAATGTGTAACTTTACCCTAAGAGCTCCTTTTATCACAAGCTTGGCATAAATGACTTAAGCCAAGGGATTCCGTAAGATGCCACAACACAGAAATGAGACTAACCTACTTGTAAGACAGGTAGCTTAGGAAGAAACACTAGCTCCAACTCCATGAGTCCAAATCTCCATTTGGAATGAAGCAGGACAGGGAACAAAACATGTCAGTGTGATCCTCAGAGGACCTCTCAGAAGTCCAAACTAGTTGAGGCACAGGCTTGTGTGTTCTCTATCTCCTTACACTGCCTGCTATTAAGTGTGTCTCCTAAGTAGCCTCAAGAATCCAGAATGCAGCTGAGCAATTGCTCAGGCCTACACTCCGGAAGGCGTGCAGAAGGCAAAGAAAAAAGGATCACACTGCAAGGTAGAGGCCAGTTTGACCTACATAGCAAGCTACTGGCCAGCCACACAACAAGATCCTGTCTCAAAATGCTAGGGAAAAGTCTTTAAAGGTCAAATATATACAAAAGTTATAGATGGTATTAAAAATGATTAGTGGACATGGTTATCTCTTATCTGTAACCCCAGCAGTTGGGGGAATGAGACAAGAAGACCTAAAGTCTAAGGCCAGCAAGGTTAGCCTGGACTACATAGCAAGATCCTGTTACAAACAAAACCAAACAAACCACACGGGGGTAGGTGCTGGAGAGGTGGTTCCATCCTCAAGAGCATTTACTGCTCTTTCAGAGGATGCAGGTTCAGTCCCCAGCACTCATTTCTGGCCATACAGCTGCTTGGAACTCTAGTTCCAGAGGATCCCAGAGCCCTCTCCTGCCTCCTGTGGCCTGAGGCATGCATGCGGTGCACATACATACATGCAGGCAATACATGTAAAGTAAACATAAAAGAAATTCAAAAAACAACAGAGGGCTGGAGAGATGGCTCAGAGGTTAAGAACACTGGCTGATCTTCAGGAGGTCCTGAGTTCAATTGCCAGCAACCACATGGTGGCTCACAACCATCTGTAATGAGATCTGGTACCCTCTTCTGGCCTGCAGGCATACAAGGAGGCTGAACACTGTGTACTCAATAAATAAATAAATCTTTAAAAAAAAATAAAAAAAAAACAGAGCTACAGAGCAAGCTCAGAGTGAAAGAGTGGTTAGGTAAGAAAATTTACAAGTTTTAAACAAAGAGGACTGAAAAGAAAAAGAACAAAACAGTATGAGAAGCCTACCAATTTACTTAAAGGTTTGAAGACAACCTAGTGGAGAGATTACGTACCTGATTAAAAGTGGGAGGTGGGGGAGGACCAGGTGGGGGCGGGGGAGGAGGAGGAATTGGCATCCTTGCCCTGCTCCCAGTTGGCACCGTTCTCTCTCCGTCTTTATTTGTAGCTTTAGGTCATTCATATACCTGTAAACAAAATCAAATTCAAAACAACAGCTTTATAATTAGAGGCTCTGCGTGCCCAGGAGGTCGAGAGGATTGGACAGGGACAGAGACCCTGAGCACTTCATCCCTACATAAACACTCTCTGTCAAACACCACCTTACAGTCTCCTTTATATATTATTCTTGGTGGAAGTGGGAATCAAACCCAAGTCCTCAAAGGTGCTAAGCATGGGCTTCATCACTGATTTCTACTCCCACACCAACTAAAAACAAACAACAACAAAAAACACTTTATATCTTAGAAGTTCTAGGTTCACAGCAAAACTGAGCAAGAAGTACTACAAGTTTCCATGCATGCATCTCACTGTGCTGAAGTGTGATTAACAGGTCAGGCATGTACCTACCCCACAGTGTGATTGGTGGATCAGGCACTAAGAATATGTCTGACTCTTTAAGAAGCTGCCAAACTTCTTCAAAAGTTGCTCTACCCACTTAGAATTTGCACCAGCAACAAAGAACTTCTGTTGCTCCGCATCTCTGCCACACTTGGCGCTGTCAGTTGGGAGTTCGGCCACTCGATGTCTGTTTAGGTCCTTTTGACTTTGGGGGTGATGGTGCTCCCCAGGGCTAAGGTATGCTAAGTCCACATTCTACCAATGAGCCATTCATAACCCTAGCCTTACTTTTTTTTTTCCAATTAGACTTTTCATTTTACTGTTGGGCTCAAGAACTCTGTCTCTAGTGAAATATTTTCTTCCAGTTTGTGGCCTGCCTTCTCTCTCTCTCTCTCTCTCTCTCTCTCTCTCTCTCCAGCCTTTTAAGAAAATAAAATCATTCTCAGTTTGTGAGGCATTCAAGAACAAACTGTAGACTAGACTTGACTCATAGGCCACAGTTCACCTGTACCTGGCAATAGTCACACCCACGGGACTTGATTAGAGAATAAATACCACATGAGAAACTGCCTGCTGACTTGGTCACACAATACCTAGCATTTGAAACCTACGGCTGTCTGCCCACTGCAGTCTGCTTCACTTCACACAGAACTGAAACGAGGGAACTGACTGACGGAGGACACTGAACTGGCTGAAGATATAACCAGAGCTCAAAAAACACCAAGTCCTCCAAGGCTTGGTCCCGAGAAAAATCTCCTTTCTTGATCTCTAAAAATGAAAGCCAAAATAGCACTGGCACCATGAATGCAAACTCACAGATAGGAAGATATAATAATATAAAAGGCTGGAGAGATGGCTCAGCAGTTAGAGGCACTTGCGACTCTTGCAGATCCCACCCCAGGTTGTTCACAACAGCCTGGAACTCCAGTTCCAGGAATTCAATGCCTTCTTCTGGCCTCACAGGTTCCACACACTGTGGCACAAAGACATACAGAAACAAAAGTAAAAATAAGTCTTTTAAAAAAAAGTAAAATAAAGTCCATTTATCAGTCCACAGAGGAACTGCCTCTAAACAGAGTAACTAATGTGATTAGGGCACAAGGAGATTCTCAGTAGCCCACAGTACAGATGGGAGGCCATGTGTATCAAGCCAGTCAAAGGACGGCTTAGCTCTGAACTCCTTACAGGGATATTCATAATTCACTGTTAATAAGAAGTCATTTTAATAGTCTTTCAATGTCCTGGAGTGAAGGAAGGAAAGAGGAGAGATCCAAAGACCAAGAACAGCTGCAGGAGAGTAGAACTGATCAGAAAGTTGACTGGAAATCTCCAACCCCAACTCCTGCCTGTGTGATGTCCAACAGACTATCTGCTTCACAGAGATGTCTGGACAGGGAGTTTTCATGGAGGACGACATCTACACTCACTTCAAAACGAAGTGGTGGGGTGATGAGATGACATTTGCCTCCAAACCTGACAACCTGAGTTCAATCCTTAGGGCCAACACAGCTTAGGAAAAAAAAAAAGGCTCCAACAAGTTGCCTTCTGACTCACACACATCCCAGGAGGGGCTTTGGAGATAGCTAGTAATATGTGACAAGTTCAGTCCCCAGAACCAATATTTAAAAAGCTGGGTATTAGCCAGGCAGTAATGGTGCACACCTTTGATCCCAGCACTTGGGAGGCAGAGGCAGTCAGATCTCTGAGTTCGAGGCCAGCCTGGTTTACAGAACAAGTTCCAGGACAGCCAGGGCAACATAGAGAAACCCTGTCTCAAAAAGACAGACAGACAGACAGAGCTGGTGTGGTGGCACACTTATAAATCTGGTGCTAAGGAGACAAGACAGGAGGAACCAGCCTAGGCATTGACAAGTTCTAGGCCAGTGAGAGACTCTGACTCTACATAAGGTGGACAGCATTCTTAAGAAAGGACATTCAGGGCTGGAGAAATGGCTCAGCGGTTAAGAGCATTGCCTGCTCTTCCAAAGGTCCTGAGTTCAATTCCCAGCAACCACATGGTGGCTCACAACCATCTGTAATGAGGTCTGGTGCCCTCTTCAGGCATGTACGTAGACAGAATATTGTATACAAAATAAATAAATATTTTTTTTTAGAAAAAGGACATTCAAATTGTCCTTCCACAAGTACAAATACACATATGTGTACACACATACACACACACACTCATGTGCACGTGCACACAGAGTTTTAGCCCCTCTCCAAAGGAAATACCAATTCATTTCTGGTCTCAAAGTTGAGCGCGACAATCTCCCTTTACTCGAGATCTAATCCTTTGGTCGTATTTTATCAAAATTCGCTAGGAGGAGGGATGTCCCAGCCACCTGAGAAGCTGAGGGAGGAAAATCGCCTAAACCCAGGAGGTCAAGACCAACCTCGGCAAAACAGGACCCCGTCTCATTCAATGCCCCTGAACAAATGCTCAGCTTCACTAAAATATTAATCAAAAATAGTAAATTTTCATAAATCAAATCCCTATCATCAGGGAAAAGCATAAATTTAAAATAAATTGAAGGGGTCATTCTCCAAATCCAGAAGTGTCCCTCTCTGGCCAACATCAATACTGCTGAAGAAGCCTGAACGAAGCAACAGCTTCCCCCGCTTCAAGGCCAAACAGAATTACATCAGCTCACTAATTCCACAGATACAACACAACTTCTTACCTTAAGGACAATGGATAACCAGGCACTACTTATAAGCCTTCTAGGGTTAAAAGTCACCACGTAGAATGTGCCTGCCTGTCTATCTGCCCTTTAAGATTGCTCCTAAAAAACAATCAAGGTCTGATATGGTGGTGCATGACTTTAAGCTTAGCTCTCACGTAGAGTCAGATAGATTTCTAAGTTTGAGGCCAGCATGCCCTGCACAGGAAATTTAGGCCAGCCAGGGCTGTATCGTGAAACCAAGTTTCAAAATAGCCCAAAAGAACAACACAACAACAACAATAAAGTTGGGAAATCAGGAGTCCTTAGCACAGTGGTGTAATGGCATCCAGTACCCAGGACGAAGAACCTCGATACAGGAAGAGTAGGAGCGGCCCGCATATGGGCACACCTATCTCTCCAGGAGACTACCCAACAACAGGAACCAAACTGGTTCCCGGACTAACTTGAGAACTGATGTCCACATAGAATCAACCACATACATCCTGTGTTCTAGCTCAGATTGGAGACAGCTCCCACTAAGGCAGTCCTACTGTTTGTCTCTAAAATACAGCGAATCAGGCAGAGCGCCTTTCATGCCATTCTGCACTGTACAGTCATATAGTGCAGAGCTCTCCTCTCTCAAGAGCAGGTGCCAGTTCTTTTCTGAAGCTCCGATCAGTCAAATGTCTGGAAATGCCGGGCAGTGGTGGTGCACACCTTTAATCCCAGAGAGGGAGGCAGACACAGGAGATCTCTAAATTCAAGGCCAGCCTGGATTACAGAGCTAGTTCCAGGACAGCCAGGGTACACAGAGAAACCCTGTCTCAAAAGGAAAAAAAAAGAAAAAAAAAATCCCAAGGTGATTTCATGAAAGGAATCCCCCCCTCGCAACTATAGTCAATTTTTTATCATATAAATTTAACTGTATAGCAAGCCTAATTGGCCCAGAAAGAAGTTAAAAATCAAATAGTTATCATAAATATTTAAACTAAAAGCCTTAGGTAGTCTAACACAGACATGTATGGGCAGGTTTTTTTTTAAATATTTATTTATTTATTACGTATACAATGTTCTGTCTGTATGTATGCCTGCAGACCAGAAGAAGGCATCAGACCTCATTACAGATGGTTATGAGCCACCATGTGGTTGCTGGGAATTGAACTCAGTTCCTTTGGAAGAGCAGGCAATGCTCTTAACCGCTGCTGAGCCATCTCTCCTGCCCCCCTGGCAGTTTTGTTTTTTAAAGCAAAGTTCTAGCCAGTAGTGTTGGTGCATGCCTTTGATCTCAGCGCTTAGAGACAGAGGCAGGTAGACAACAACTTCTAGGCCAGTCAGTGCTACCCAGTGAAGACTCTGCCTCAAAAAAAAAAAAAAAAAAAAAAAAAAACAATGGATGGAAGGATGGATGGATGGATGAGCAGTCTCAAATATATGGGGCTGACTCTGAACTCGATGTAGACAATGATGACCCTGAGTCCTTACCTCTCCTGCCTTTGCCTCCTGAGTGCTGAGATCACAGGTACACACCACAGCTGGCTCCTTCACTCCAGGACAGTGGCTCTCCAGAGTTCTAAGAAGCACGATAGCTGACATGCAGCACACCTGTAACCCCTGCACGTGGGAGGAAGAGGGAGATGGCTGGGTGGACGACAGCAAACCTTACCTAAAACCAAAACAAAACAGATACAGCTCAATCAACCAGTTGGTTTTTTTCCCCATAAGGAGCTTTCTCTTCTTGCCCTGGATTATTTTTTAAACTCCAAAATGTAAATGCAGATGTCTACTTATTTTCTATGTCTAAATATTAGGTTATTTCTAGATACAGGAAAGTCCAGAAGATAAGACTTATCTAAAAGGATGATAAACAAGGAGACATCCATATTCACATTCAATTAAACAACCACAGTGCAAAGAATGGCTTCATGATAATGAAGACTAGAGACAACTAATGCAAGAGAAACTGTAAATTAAATGTCTGAACAGCACCCCAAACACATCAGGAGTGACCTCACTAAACCCTCCAGCCCTACCACACTCCGCTCCTCAAAGCAAAGGGACAATCCAGTTCTGCAACAGAGAAACACAAAATACAATATTAGCTGCAGTAAATCGGTGGTAGTTAAAACAGCCAGTAGGGAAGCACGAGACAGTCACACTTTTTGTTCAAAAGTAGTTTTTCAACTTTGTTTATCCAAACTGTTCAAACATAACTTGTAAAAGCATTTTAGAAAGAGTCTAGGATGGAATGAGCCCAGGAGATTTCTCAGCAGGTAAAAGTACTTGCCACAAAAGCCTGACAACCTGAGTTCAAGCCCCGGAACCCACTGTGGGAAAAGGGAATTGACTCGCAAAAGTTGCCCTCTGGGCTCCACATGTATGCCTGCACTTGCACACACTGCACACACACACAAAATCTTAATATTGAAATTTTAGAAAACCCAAGGCTGTGTGCATATTCTACCACTGAGCCCAGCAGTAGAGTATGCACACAGCCTTGGGTTTATTCCTCAGCAAAAAATAAAATACATAAAACATAGAGCTGTTTCTATAAAGCTACCCATCAGAAGATGAAAACGCACCCAATGCCAGAGTCAACGTGGCTAACTAACAGACACAGGGATATCCAAGAACTGGTCACTACGGTGGTACACGGCCTCCACAACATTAACAAGTACTACACAGCTCCTGACCTCCAGGCAATTGACAGCATCCAAGGAATAGCCAGCTGCAAATATATTTCCAGCTGATTTGTTGACTAGCAGTAAAGGACAGAGCGGTTCTTTTCCCATATAGATGGGAGACGCAAATGTGCCCTTCATATGGTCATGGTTAAAAACAAACCTCAAAGCCAGGTTTCGTGGCACATGTCTACAATCCTAGCACTTGGGAGGTAAAGGCAGAAGGACTGGGAACTTGAGACCCTGTCTCCAAAACCAAAAAATCCAACTTCAAAATCTCAGTGCATTGTCATCTCCAAAAAGATGTGGAAACCCAAGGCAGATGATTTACATGTGTTCCATTTCACCAGAGACATTAGCACGGTCCTGAATTTTACAGTTAAATGACAGAGTAGCTCAATGTTCATAATTAATATTTCCTCCCCACCCACATCTCCCAGCAACCAGGGCGCTTAGATATATTGGCAAGAAAAATGGAGTCATACAGCAAAAATTTATTACCATCAGTCAGCTTTACAACTAGGGAGGGTCTAGATTTAGGAGACTGACTTCGCTCCTTTACTAAAGAATTACCTGAATAAATTCCTCAAGTCGGGGGGAGCACTCTTGGGAAGAAGGGAGTTCGTCAGCTAAAAGACACATATTTTAATTTAGAAATCCAACCCAAAAGACAAAAAGACCAAAACTAAGCAGATTGAAACCATCTGAATATAAAGGAAATACCAGGGAAAGCCCTAGTTTTCCCCAGAGATGTAAGGGGTACCAATGTTTACAGAGAGCTCTTCTGGAGTGGGGTTTCTGAGCTCACCTGTACTAAGTCACATTTAGGATATCTGTTAAATAAAGAAACTCAAGCTGGCCATGGTGGAGCATGCCTTTAATTCCAGCACTCAGGAGACAGAGGCAGGTGGATCTCTGTGAGTTCAAGGCCAGCCTGGTCTACAAAAGCTAGTTCCAGGACAGGCTCCAAAGCTACAGAGAAACCCTGTCTCGAAAAACCAAAGATGAGACAACAACCTGGGCATGGCTGCCTGGGAGGTGAAGGCAGGCGGAGCAGAAGTTCAAGGTCTTCCTCAGCTACAAAGAAAAATTGAGGCCAGCCTGGGTTACATAGCGACTGTCACCCCATTTATTCATTGTGTGTGTGTTCCACAGTGTAGGTATGGGGGTCCGAGTGTATTTGCCATAGGTGCACTCTGAGGCCAGAGGATAACTTGGGGAGTCAGGGCTCTCCCCCTGTGCAGGCTCTGGGCACTGAGCTCAGACTGTCAGTTTTGGCAGCGAGTGCATTTGCCCACCGAACCAGCTCACCAGTCACTGCTCCCAGCATTTTTAGTTTAGTTTTCGTTTTTTATTTTTAATTACGTGTGTATTTGTGACCATGTTTTAAGAAGAAAGGGTATAAACAACTACCTCATAAGAATAATGGCTAAAAGCATAATGCCACTGGGGTGGGGTGATATCCAGAGCCATCTGTCGCCAAGGACCATGTTACTGCAGCTGAGGTGTGTGCTGAAGTCCACATCCTGTATTGCTACCAAAGGTCACATAGAGGCCCAATCACAGTCTGAACCATTCCTGCCTGAGTGGCCATTCCTTCCACCCAGAGCCAGGATGCCATCCAGGCCCAAGATGCTGCTGAGGGCCATGTCTGGGTCTGCGTTGATGTCTGTGGCCTGTGTCACCTCAGGAAGCCTTAGGAACCATGCGAGATGAAATCAGAGGGCCAGGTTGAGCCGGCCATGCCCTTTGATGACCCTGGGAAAGCTGGCCTTGTCTCTTGCTGGACATTAAGCAAGAGAGCTGGCCCTTGCACTCCCACCCCTCACCACAGGGGAGGCTGAACCAACCACAAGGGCATGCATGTAGGGGAGCTGACTCTGTCCCTTCTCCTGAGGGGTGGCCCCAGTAGCCTGGACTGATCAGCTCGGCTACCACCCAGGCCCACCCTAGCATCTACTCCATCTAGGACCTGCAGGAGTGTGTGAAGGGATTGGTCCTGTGGAACGATACCCACAGGATCTCCAAGACTTGGGGCGGCCACAGGATGTCCTAGAGGCGTTCTGGTGAGGAGCCAGTGATGGTGGTGTACCAGAAACCACAGGCCTTGAACCAGACCAGTGACTCACTGCATTGAATATTAAGTAAAGCTAATGGGGCAAAGGGATATACTGCATGATACACCGAAGTCCCATTGCTACCAGGACCAATGAAGAGATGGAGGGGTGGAAAAGAAGGAGAAGCAAGAGATTTTTGTTGTTGCTTTTGTTTTGTTTGGGGGGCGTTGTTTTTGCTTTTGCCTGCTTGCTTACTTTGTTTTGTTTTCTTTTGTGATGGAGCATGGCAGGGGTGAGGGGAGGATATGGGGGGACGGGACCGTGAGGTAAGCAGAATCAGGGTTCATGATGTGAAACTCCCAGAGAGTCAATAAAGAAGTTAAATTTTAAAAAAAGAAAAAGAATAAAGGCCAAAAATCCCAGCACTTGGGAGGCAGAGTCAGGCAGATCTCTGAGTTTGAGGTCTGCCTGATCTTCTGAGCAAGTCCTGGGACAGCTAGTGCTACACAGAAAAAGCCAATGTTAGATCTGTCACCAAACCAAATAAATAGAGTAAAAAAGTTTACTTCCCACCGAAACCTGTGAAAGCCAGCAAAGTGGCACCGCAGGTAAAGGTGCTTGCCCCTCAACCCCAACAACCTACGTCTGATTCCTGGAACCCAAGAATGGTGGAAGAAACCACTCCGTAAAGATGGCCTCCAACCCCTACACACGTACCACAGCTCATCACCTGCAGTGCTCACCAACAGGAAAGAAAAATTAAATGGACGTTAGCACCTGTGTCTCCTGTAAATCTCTAATGGAGTCAGGCTACCAATGGTGACCTGGATCTGTGCCACAGTCTGGGTGTAACCACAGGGTAATCAGTGACCTCAGCACTCACTCTATCAGAGGCCAAATATGTGAGCAACCTCCAGCACACTAAAGGAAATCATGACCAAACTGGGTGTAGTGACACACAACCATAGTCCCAAGTATTCAGGAGACTGAAACAGGAAATGGCTTAGGCCTAGAAATTTGAAGCCAACATAGATAACATTAGGACTTATTTTTTTAAATAAATTTTTGTTTGTTTGTTTTTGTTTTTCAAGACAGGGTTTCACTGTGTAGCCCTAGCTGTCCTAGGACTCATTCTAAAGAGCAGGCTGGGGCTGGAGAGATGGTTCAGTGGTAAAGAGCACTGGCTGCTCTTCCACAGGTCCTGAGTTCAATTCCCAGCAACCACATGGTGGCTCACAACCATCTGTAATGAGATCTGACGCCCTCTTCTGGCGTGCGGGCATAAAAGGAGGCAGAATGCTGTATACATAATAAATAAATAAATCTTTAAAAAAAAAAAAAAGAACAGGCTGGCCTCGAACTCACAGAGATCCGCCTGCCTCTGCCTCCCAAGTGCTGGGATTAAAGGCGTGTTCCACCCCTGCCTGGTACTGTTTTTATTATTATTATTATTATTATTATTATTTTAATAGTAACATTACACTGAAAACAAGATCCAGGGGTCAAGGCCAGCCAAAACTTGGGGGAAAAAAATCTATTACAAACAAGAAAGTTAGACACTTCGTCACTGACTGGCAAACAGTACTGGCACAGTAAACTAGCCATATCATAACTAGCTGCCCATCTCCATCAGAGCTTCCTTCATGTGCATATCCTAAACACAAAGCAGAAAAGCACACACAAAGAAACGAAGACAACCCGATGACAGACTCCACAAGAAAAGGCCTGAACGAAACTTAAGCAGATGCTCCATGAAACACTGATCAGACTTCACACACCGAGAGGTGTCATGCCTCATTTCAAACAGAATGTATTAAGTCTCAACTCACCACAGACACTCTAATAACAGCGCTGTGACATTCCTTGTTGAAGTTTCTTCTCTCACATTCTAATACCCTTGAGCCACCAGAAATGCAGATGCTTTGCGT